TTTTTTTTTTTTTTCTTTCTTTCCATCAGAATTCACAATCTTTATTGCGACTAATTACGTCGTCTACCAATACTATATATCGTCCGATCTTTTATACCGTTTTACAAGCATAATTAATCGGGATAATTTTATATTCGCCGTATATCAATTAACGAATGAACGTGACACGAGTTGGGTGCTTATGTATACACGCATAAATATATATTGTTTTTTTTCTTTTTCAATATTTTACGTAATCGACGAGAACAATTAAACCAAGCTCATCTCTTCGCTTTTAAAATAAAAGTGAAATGAAGGACTTGATACTTTGACTATTCGTCGAAGCGTAGAACGGAAGGATCGATATTACAGTGTTTATGAGAATTATGTTGCCAACAGTAGATAAGATTCGTCCGACAAAAACGTCCGAGCCGGAATCGCTTGGAAAGAAACGTCACACGTAAACGTCACACGGCAAACGTCGGGCACGTTTATACATTCTCGCGTGGAAAATATATTCATAATATTTATGCGATTAGTATAATCGGAAATCTTCGTGCACTGGTTACAATTACGAGTAATCGTTAGCAAAGAGCTAATTTTTCTGCAAATGACACTTTTATTCGTGTAAATCTCGTCGTAGTAGGATGAGAGAGCAACTCGTATATATACGTGAATATACACGTTACATTTCAGAATAGCTTGCAAAGTTTGAATATAAATATGGAAACCTCGCAAACGGTAAAGTTCCTTATTGTCACAAAGAACAGAGAATAAAAGAGAGGAAGGAGCATAAGGAAGAAAGAAAGGGAAGAGGAAGAGGGAGAGGAAGAGAGAGAGAGAGAGAGAGAGAGAGAAGGTTCAGTGGCCAGACCAACCAGCTGTCCAACAAACACAAAATTCTGACAGATCTCAGATGACGGTACGAATATTTCAAAATCGGTGACGATGCGTAGTTTACTGATCATCGGGGAGTGAGTGAGTAAGAGAGTAAGAGAGTAAGAGAGTAAGAGAGTGAGAGAGTGAGAGAGAGAGAGAAAGAGAGGGGGATTTTAGTAACGAACGAAAGTTTACTTACCACCACCTTGCATCATTCTGTAGAACTTCGATTCTATGTGTAACTGCGGATGCCGCGTTTTTATACATTCTAGCTTGATGGCGACTTCCTCGCCGGTGGAGATATTGGTACCTAAGAACGACAAAGAAAAAAAAGACTAGAAGCCCGGTCACGCACAGTCGCAA